TTTCCACAAGTCCTGGCTCTTCTACAATGCTCTTAGTGTTGTAACAATATCACTGCCCCGTGGACTAGCCTGGCTTAATTCCAGCTTATAGGACAGATCATTCCAGAACAAAAGGCTCTCAGCTCCAGCAAAAAGAAAAAAGCCTTGTGCAACAGGAAATGGCCCAGTGACCACAGACAGATAGATGACCCTCCCCAGCACAGTCAGTGTCCAGCTCTTTCATCTCTGCTACTCCTTGTAAGCCTAGCATGCACTTTGGAGCCAGCGGCCCATCTTGGGTCTCTAAAGCCTTCCTTGCTGCAAGACTGTCTCTCTCTCTCTCTCTCTCTCTCTCTCTCTCTCTCTCCTTTTGATTTTTACAGCAAACTCTCCAAGGAGAAGCTCTGGGCTGTGGCTGTCCCTATCGAATCTTTGGCCCTAGATTGGGATTTGTATTTAGCTGGGGCTAAACACATTGTCACTGAGAAAATGAACCCAAAATGCAGGCCGGCACTCACCTCTGTGAGGCACATTTCTCAGAGCAGCATGGACACAGAACAGAGCTTCTTCCCCTTTCCTGATTACTCCTCCTGCCTCTTCCTGAGCTCTGGAACTGTGCTTCTGGGCTGGGCTCACTGTGGAAGCTGTTATCTGCTGAGTGAGCCCGTAAAATGTCTTGCACACACTGATGCTCCTGTCTGGTGGACAAGCACACTGCTCTACCCCTGGCCATTGGATGTGGCTTCTGGGGCCCTTAGATTGGAGGTGAGCAAGTGGTTCTTAGGATCCTTCAGGGCCCATTGGCCTGTGGCTGTGTTTGCTTCACAGCTTGGTACCTGAGGGCGAGCCCAGCTCTATAAAACTGGGTACGTCAGGCACATGTTTAGGAAGCTTGCATGGCAGGGCGGTGGCTGGCGGGGCTGAGGCAGGTGCAGGCATCCCATGCCCTGGTAGAGTCTTTGTTCTCCTTGGCACCAAGAGGCCTTGTCTCTTCTGGGAGGATATCAGCATCTTATCTCTGCCTAGAATTTAAATTCTTTCACCTTCTAATGGCCTCTTTTAGAGAGCAGTGTGGATCCTTCCTGAGAGGCTGGTCAATTCATCTGTAATTTGTTACCATGCAGCAGACCTGGTGTCTGAATTCTGGTTTCTTACATTTGAGTGATTCCTGGATTCAACATTTTGCTCATGAGCATTGGTCTCATCTTGGGAGTCACTTCCAAGTTTATTCACTGATTGACTAATTGATTGGTGTTGCTTTAATTTTGAGAGTTCCTTGGGCAGAAGTATCTTTATTGATGCTTGTGTGTGCATATGGTTGTGGTTGTGTTTGTGTGTGTGTTTGTGTTTGTGTGTGTATGTGTGTGTGTGTAACTGGAGACAGGGCCTAGGGCCTTTGCTCTGAACTACATTTATACTCTTCTTTTGTACTGAAGAATTTTTTTTGTATGTTATATGTGTTAAAAGAAGGCAGGACAGTTCAGTAATAGAAAGCATTTAGATATTTGAAATACATTGCTCAGGTGAAGTAGACAAAATGCAGACTGCACCATTAGCAGTAGCTCTGGTGCCGATGGTGAACATCACCTCACCTTTGCAGTGTTAGGAATAGAACGAAGAGGCTTTTTTGGAGGAAATAGGAACACGTTATCAAAGCAAAAAGAAATGCTTATCAAGAAGAAACAGGAAACACCTTGTAGCTCTTTTCATTTTCTTTATCTCAGCTAACCAAAAAAACCCACCAGGCCTTTCAATAGAATCTTTACTATGTAAACGTGGAGTTAGCATGTTTCACGAATGCTTTCCAGTAACGCACCTTGCCCAGACGTGCCTGTGTCTGCAGTCACCCCTTATGGAGCCCTAATGTCACAGCAATGCTCAGTGCTTCACATGACCAATACAAACAGAGCCGCGCAGGGTAAGGGGGCTGAAAAGCACCCCATGCCTCCGGGATGACTCTGCAGACCCAGCCTAGGGGAAGTTTCTGCATTGATTTTTATTTTTTTGGTTCTGGGAATTGAACTCAGGACCTTGAGCTTGCCAGGCAGGTGCTGCACCGCCGAGCCATATCCCTGGCCCTGTTGCTGCATTTTTGACGTCATCATTAACAGCAAATGGTCCAGCTCCTGTTAGTGACTCACTGTCTCTGGAGAAGGGTGACTCTGTCACATCCCTTCAGTAGAAAGCAAAGACTAAATGCGACCCTGAGAAGGGTGGCTTGTGTTAGGCCATAATGCAGTCGTTTGGGGGACGAGTTAATAAAAGTTCTGCCTTATGCAAAAAGACTTGTTTTGGATTCTTTTGCTCCCTTGATGATTTCTGAAGGCTGCATCACTCTTTCTTCCTTTCCTAGAAGCCGTCAGTGTGGAGAAGCTTGAAAGCTTTCCCAGTGGCTCCAGTTTGAAGTGACAAGTGAGGAATCCTAGAAAGGAGGCATGAATACTGCAGACAAGTTAGGGGAGGAAGAGAGAAAGAGAAGAGAAGAGAAGAGAGAGAAAGAGAGAAGGCAAATGTGCATCCTGGAGAAAATTATATATTCTCTGAGGATCATCTTTCCATTTTATAATTCTTGGAGTTACAAAGGTAAAACTTTCCAAGCCAACACCAAAGTAGCAACTGGGGAACGTGTTTTCCAGGAGGCTGCTCTGTGCTGCGTTAGTCTAGGAGGAAAAAAAATGGCTCTTGGTAAGTGCAGGTCAGCTCGGCTGACAGGTAGAATTAATGAAAGGGATTGGCGTGAATCTTTGAATTTAAAATGAGAGTCATTATTTTCATTACTCACGACTAATTTGTTGTGCGGAGGATGAGAGCCAGCTGAGTTTGGAGAAGAAAAATAGAGTTTAGGGCAGTGGGTCCTAGAGTTCTAGGGTTGTGGAGGGGACATAGTTAAGGTTATTCTTTCCCCTTTCTTTCTCCTCGTGTTAGCCGGGGGAACATGGGACATTCACATGTTAGTCTTCCCCTCTTGTCTTCGTCTTTGTCCTTCTCTTAAACTTACTATTGCACTTCTTCTTGGTCACAGTAGACATTGTCTCAGGTGCTCAGCCGTCTCTTATCTGGTCCAGACCCACTGCTGGCAACCTTTTTATGCTCTGAGGCCAGCCAGTGAGGCTTTCTGTGCCACATAACCACAGTTGCAGTGCTAAGATATCCCACTGCAGGGAAAACATCAATACAAACAAGAAGTGAGCGTGCATGTGTGGCTGTGTTCCAGTAAGCAAAACAGAGGGCGCAGTGGGCTTGTCACAGACCTGGTTGGTGAGCTCAAATCCTGCACATGCCTCAAAAAAGGTATGGAAGTACAGTTTTTTCTGAGTATAGTTTTAAGCATTTAACATTGTTAAATGTTCAAAAGAGCTCAGATTTGGACTTGGTTTTGGAAGGATACTTGAGCTGGGTATAGAATCCCTGGTTCATTTTTTTCCCTTGAGTCCTGAAGAATAATTATTCAGTGTTGTTTTAGTTTTTGAGCTAGTTTGAGAAGCCTGATTCTGACCTGATGTTTTTTCTTCTTTGTAAATGAAGTTTTTTTGAGGGAGGCAGGGCATGGTGGTGTATGCCTATATTCCCAGCACTCAGGAGGCTGAGGCAGGATCACTGCAAGCATGAGACCAGTCTGGCCTACATGGTGAGTTCAAGGTCAGCCTGGACTACACAGAGGATCTTGTCTCAAAAAAAAATAATGTAAATAAATTTTGTTGTTGTTGAAGCTGCAAAATTTTCCTTCCATTGCGTTTTTTGTTTTGTTTTGTTTTTTGTTGTTGTTTTTTTTTTTTTTTGGTACCAAGGATCGAACTTGGAAGGAAGGACTGCACACTTGCAAGGCAGGCACTTATGTCGCTGAGCTAAATCTCCAGCCCCTTTGATTGTGTTTTGTTTGTGTTATCTTTAAAGTCCAGTTATTTCCTTAAAATATATCTTAGTGTTGCTCATTCAAAGTAAATTTCTCAAGTAAATATTTTAAAATATGAATATTCAGGTCTAATTTTTTAAGAAAACCTTTTTGGATTATAGTCTGAAATATTAGTACTATTCCATTTTCTCTTTTCTTTTAGAAATAAATTATATAACACACATTATTTAAGCTGTATCTAAGCTCTATATTTTATATATAAATTATATATGATGGGTTCACTTTACTATTTTTAATATCTTTTTATTGCTTTCATATTTTTCATTTTCTTTTCTTGGCTATATGCATTTCTCAGTATGCCTCAAACAGTAAGTTTTAGTAAAATCTTATGTTGTCTTTAGCTGATAATTTAGTCTTTAGTTTTGATATGTTTCTTTTGTTTTCCTCAATTTTCTCTAGAGTTTGTTAATGTCTTATTTGTCCATTTTTATCTAGAGTTTTGAATTTCTAACTCATAATGTTATTTTGTGTTTGTCATTGCTTATTTCTTTTATCTAATGCTTAATTTACTTAATGCTAGTGCATTGGGTCATAGCTTTCTCCTATTTTAGGTGGAGTTTATAAAGAATTTAGTAAGATGGGATTTTTTGATGTTAACTTAATTTTTACCTTATAGTGATTTCATATGGATTTTTTCTGTGAATTCTAGAGCATATTGGAATCCATCTCTGTCTCTCTGTACATCTATATTAGCAATATATATATATATATATATATATATATATATATATATATATATATATTATATAAAATTCAAGGAAAGGATCCATGAAAAGGTTTGGGGGATTTTGGATTCCTACTAAATGTCTTTGTTCAAAAGTTCCCTCTTGTGTTCCCTTCAGCAGTACCTATGCAAAAGTTCCCTCTTTTGCATATATTTTTAGGAGTCAATGGAAATTTTCTTTGGGTACAGTTCATTATAGTCTTCTACTTCTGTAATATGGTGAGTCCTCCACTTATAAATTACCTTCAGTCTGCGAGAATGTTTCTAAATCAGATTCATTCATAGGTCTGGCAAAGTGAGTCTTATATATCTTTGATGCAAATATACAATGTAAAGCATAACACCACCCCAATACTGAAAATAAACTGTTTTTTACTTTTACAGCTCTCTCAGATTGGTGGTGCAGTACCCTATAGCAACTGTAAGTGAACTGGCTTCACTTTCGTTTCCATGGTTACTGCTTTGTGCTTCCTGGCATCCCTCCGCATCCCTGCTGCCCTTTCTCCTCCTCCCCGATTCCCTGGGCTCTGGCTGAGCACGGCCCTGCTGTGCAGTATGCACTATGCAGTGGGTGCACAGCGGCACAACCGTGACGATGCTCGGCAGACACGGTGCCACATCCGGGGTCTGCTCGCATCTGTGAAAGTTCACAGCTCCAATGTTCGTGAGTTGGGAACCGTTCTCTGTGTGATGTTACCCGCAGGCCTCCAGGAGCGATTGCTCCTCCAAGTGGGTTCCCTCTGCTTGAGCCCATTTCCCGTAGCTACTGTCTTCACACTGAAGTACTTCCTAGCTCTTTCCTTTGGCTTCTCCAGTGCCTGGTCTGTCCTTTTTAGACATTTCCTTGCTATTTCCCCATTCATAGCGAGAAAAGATGTTACATGTGCTTCTCCTTCACTTTGAGTACAATGTGCTTTTTTCCCTGAAAAACCTACCTCCAGTTCTTTGCTCTAGGATGACCCCTGAAGCTTCCTTTGTTGGTTTGGGATCTTTATTTCATCACGTCTATAAATATTGAAGTCTGCAGTGTGCTGGTTACCCTGTGAACATGCTGTAGGCTGTGTTGTTTGCCATTTACTTGAGTTTTATTTTAGCCTGTGAGTTGTGCCTGTGATATCTGAGAAATGAAGTCTTTCCTCTAGATTGTTAATCAAGAAGTTCAGTAAATAGGCTGGCAATCTGTTTAAATCTTTTGCCTATATTCACATTTTGATAAAAATACAAAAAGGTGAATCAAAATAAAGCACACGTTGGTAAAGGTAGGTAATGTGGTATAGCCTTTACCTGCAATTTCCTCCTGCACTGAGCTTGTTTATTCACTGGTAGGAAGAGTGGGCTAGAGGGCTGTTTACCATGTGGTATTTCCATGTGACAGCAAAGTCAGAGAGAGAAGGGTACATGGTAGTTGAGGACTAGCAGATCTATTAGTACACCAAAAGCTGTATCCACACCAAAATCTATAATGAGCACATTTTTTTGCAGTTTTATGCATAATTTTCAAAAGCTTAGAAGCAACCAAATGTCCTACAATACATTACTAAGTAAATTATAGTACATCCAGGCAATGAATATTGCTGAAAAAGTCAGGAAAAGAATAGAGAAAACTGAAGCACATGAAGGGCACATGAAAAGTTTACATGGTGTATAATCTCAAGCATGTGACCTTCTGGAAAAGTCAGAACTATGGCTGCAGAGAAAAGATCCATGATTCCTCGGGGCGTATGGAGGGAGAGGGGAGAACAGGTCAGAAGGGGATTTTTTGGATTTTATAATGATAGACTCATCACCATACACTCATCCCAACCCCTAGAATATGAAACACAAAGACTAGGTTCTACACAATGAATTTGAGGTGAAAATGTATCCCTTAATGTAGCTTCGTTAGTTGTAAGAAGTGTATCCCACTCGGGTGGGATGTTTTTGAGACTGAAAGGAGACGGTATGTGTGGAGGGAATGTGGGAACTGTCTGGCCTTTCCATGCAACTTTGCTGCAAACCAAAAACTGCTCTAAAACAAAGCCTTTTATAAAGCAAAAACGTACATCAAGTACTGTTGTCAGCTCCTTCACTGTGACAAAATACCTGACACAAACAACTCAAAGGAGGAGAGATTTATTTTGGTTTATGGTTTCAGAGGTTCCAGTCCATAGTTGACTGGTTCCATTGCTAGGGGCCATAGTTGAGGTAAAACAACATGGTGGAAGGATGTGGTGGAGGAAAGCCACTCACCTCATGGCAGCTAGAAAACCCAGAGCGGCAAAAGGACCAGAGAAGAGAGGGCCAGGGACCAGATGTAGTCTACATGGTTACACTTCTAGGATCCAGCCCTTTTAACCAGGGCCCACTACCTCAGTCAACATTACCCTCACTCATGTCACCAAAATTCATCCCATCAGGGGGCTAATCCTTGTGATGAAGTCAGCACCCTTCCTAATTGCTTCCCAAAAGAGCCCAAGAACAAATATCAAGACCTTAGCATGTGTTTTTTTTTTTTTTGGCGGGGGGGATATTTCAAATGCAAACCATAACTAGTAGCTACTGGGTAAACTGGTATCTGGCTTCTGAAAATATAAGAGTATTCATCCCTCCTGCTACCAGAAGAATTGGACACTGATTTCTCATGGCCAAGACATACCATAGAAATTCCTCTTAGTCAAAGGAAGCTGGGACATTCAATGTTACAGCTCTTTTTGAAGACAGCCCACAGACTAGTCTGGCCATTTTGAGGATATAAATTCACAACCATGTCGTTGTAATTCAGGACAACTCTGAAATGTATCTCCTGTCCCTAAGGCCGTGTGGGACTGCTATTTGCCTTTCCTGCAGCCGTGTTTTTATTCGGCTTCTGTATTCAATTCTGCTTCATCCACTGTCTCCCGGCTCGCTCCTGAGAACATTCCGTGAGTGTCACATAGGAAAAATCCACCTGGCATTCTATTTTCCTGAGAAGCCAGCCCAAGGTAATTGGAGATTAATAGTCATTCGAGTGGGCAGATCATAAGCTAGGAGGTTAGTGCTGCCTCGCCTGGAACCATCCAGCACTAACTAGGAACACTGAGAGGCTTGGGAACGCTGCAGTCAGATAATAGGTAAAAATTTCCGAATGGTGAATGGGGTGAAATACTAGTTGAGGAATGCACTGGCAAGTGCAGTGTTTCAGGCATTTGACGAGTTGCAAGGAAATAGTGATTATAAGGATGGTACAATCTACTGTTGCTGAGTCCTGCCAGTGTGTTGGAGGAAGATGAAAAGCTAAAGGTATTGTAGCAGGAAGTTGTGGGAAGTTGCAGATGAGGTCAGGGTTGAAACATGAGAGTGGCATGCCTGCACATGCTGAATCCTCAGCTCCAGAGAGTCTCCCCAACTCCAGAAGGGCCTGTTTAGAAAAGTGAGCCACTCTGAGGCTTGCACGGTGATATCTGAATCAATGCATTACTAAAACTTGAAAAGCAAGATTTTCCCGAGCCTCCTGTCCTGGAAAAGTGATTTCTTCCTGTTAAATGACATTTTATGATCCCTTGGACTTTGACTAAGAGTTAGAAGTTGCACAGTATCAGATCCAGTGAATCAGGTGGATGAGGACATGGACCTCCAGCATGCAGAAGTGGTGCTTCCTTCACATCTCTGCTATGTGCCTGTGTGACCTTTACAAAACCAGGTGACATCAGGAGGCCAGCCAAATAGTCCAGTGGCAGCTACTGGTCAGATGTTGGGTCTTTGCCACAAGAAATCAGTCTTAGGTACATGGCATGCATCTATGATCTTGGCAATGTTCTCTTTTCTTAGCAGTGAAGAGGAACAGACATGCTTTGCCTTCACATTGTGAGGTGACAGTACATATTCATGTCACCCTATGGGACTGTGCTAACACTTCTGATCTCTTCATTATAGTGTGAAGTTTCAGGGACTCAGAATATCAACACCTTCATGCTTTTGATGTTATTTTGAATTAGACTTTTAATTTTGAATTTTGATTGGTGTTAGTTTATAGAACTGCAGCTTGGTTTACGTGTTGATCTTTATTCTGCAACCTGCTAATCTCACATTATTGTGAGAAGACTAGTTGTAGTTTTTTGGGTAGATTTTTTTGAGTTTTTTTTGCACAATCATATAACCTGAAAATAAAGAATTTTGCTTTCACTTGTCCAAACTCTGTATGTTGCATTAATTTTTTTCTGCCATTTTACTTATTAACATCTCTATAATGTTGAGTAGAAGTGGTGAGTTTGGCTGTGCTTTCTTTTTACTTGATCTTAGAAGTGATTAGTCTGTTACCGTTAACTGCAATGTTCCATTAGTGTCTTGGTGATAACATTTTTTTCATAGAACAAGGAGGTCTCTTTTATTTCTAGTCCTCTGTGAGTTTATTTCATGAATGGATGTTGACATAGATGGAGACTTTTTGCCATCTATTGAGATGGTCAAATGTGTGTGTTTTAGTTTTTAAGAGTTAATTGTATTGATTTTAAACTGCTAAACCAAAGTTGCATTTTTAGAAAAACTCATATTATGCCCTCTTATTATTTAAAATACTTTTCAGTACTTTTCATCTAGTTGCCAAGTTCTTGGCAAGAAGTTTTGTATCTATGCTTATGAAATTTTTAGATATTTTTTCTTGTAATCATTTGGGTTTTGCTGTCTGTACATTGCTGGCCTCACAGAAAGAGTTGTGCAATGGTCCCTCACTAATTTCTCGTGAAAAACTTATGGGGAATTATCATTATCTATTTCTATAATGTTATTGTTTAGCTCTAAAATGTACCCCAAGAGGCTCATGAATTTGGAGGTGGGATTTTGGAAAGCTATTGAATATGGCTGTGCTTTATGTCACAGTGGATTGATTCACTGATGAGTTCACAGCTGAATGTGATGTAAGGAGGTGGCATCTGGCTAGAAGACATAGGTTACTGGGGACAGGGCCTGGAAGAGCATATTATTAACCCCAGTTCTTTCTTTCTTTCTTTCTTTCTTTCTTTCTTTCTTTCTTTCTTTTTTTCTTTCTTCCTTTCTCTCATTTTCTCATTCTCTCTTTCTTTCTCTCTGTCTCTCTCTCTCCTTCCCTTCCTGGCTGCAACAGGTTGAGCAGTATTTCCTCTGCTATGCCTCTTCCATGCCATTTCTGCCTTGAACTGAACTCCCTAAAATTGTAAGGCAAATCATGCTCTCTTCATCTTAAGTTCTGAGCATCAGTATTTTATAGCAACAATGAGAAAGTGACTAAGTGAGAAATTGGTTTAAGACACTGACTCCAGAATGGGAGCAAAGATGGGGGATAGATAACAGCTGGCTACAGAGGCTCCCTGAGATAGTCAACTTAGAATTCAACATAATACAGCATGGGGAGCCCCGAACAGAGGGAGATGAATCTCTCATCCCAAGAAGAAACTAAGGTGAGAAGAACCAATCAAACATACAGTCCTGGTGCTATTATTGGAACAGCTAAAGGTTCAGTGCTCCCACTGCAGCGGGTGACTTGCCAAGCTGTCCGAGGTCCTGCCGTTTTGACTCACTGGATGTGCAGTCACACTGAGATCAGGGGTTGGCCAGCCAAATGGAGAGCTGAGCTGGTGGGGAGCCTGCATCGATCTGTGGTGAGTGACGGGAGTGGAGCCATTCCACAGAAAGGGGGCCTCCAGCGGACAACATGCTGGACCCAGGCAGGACTGGCAAATACAAGGGGCAGCAGTGACTTCAGTCAGCTGTTCCCTTCCCCAACGGGATGGGTGGGGTGAGCTAGGCTTGGGTCACGTGACCTGGCTGAGACCTAATAGGTTATCCAAAATCAATTTCCTACAGCAGCAGTGCACACTAACACAGTGAAGACCTCAGAAGTTTGACTGACCCCAGCCCAGCCTCCTTGGGTCCTGCTACTAAGAATGAGCTCCTTGTTTATTTGCTTTGAGGGAGAACTGAAGCCCAGAGAATTAACAGTGTCGAGAATTATGACATCCATTGATGTATTAATTTAACAAACATAGAATGTCTGCAATCTTAAAGATTATGAGCTAGACTTTGGAGTTGTGAAATAAGGAGAAGGATGGCAAAGAATCCTTTGCATTCTTGTTCCTGGGCCTTGGGCTTCTTTCTGAATGTGTCTGTGCTTCTGATTCTTCTTGGCCACAGAGATTGCAGCTAGCTAAAGAGGCCATAGCACACAATGAGGGTCCTCACCTGGGTGGTTTTCCTCCATGGGTGACATTTATCAGGGTCTGGAAACATGTTTGTTATCACAAGTGGGGAGCAGGAGCTCCTGGGCCAGGCGACTTGGCCAAAATGTCAGCAGTGCCTGGGCTGACAAATGCTTGCACACATTCAGTAAAAGGTGTGTACTGGGGCGAGGGGTCCACCATGCTATGACCTGTAGAAAGCTTCCACTAGGCTCCACCTCTGGAGGAGCTCTCCCCGCAAGTCTCTCCTGGTGGCTCATCTAGCTGGGTCCCTGGACAGTGGGAGTCAGCTTGCTCTCTCTCCGCTTGCTGGTAGATTCCTCCTGCTGGAAGATTTCTTCTCCTCCTGGTGGGGGACCCCAGGGTCTCATCTTTGCCTTTGTTCCATTCTGTCCCTAGCCTGTCCTTCCTTTGCTGCCTGCAGAGCTCTATCAGATCTGAATTTGGACACCGATTATCTTGATTCACTCACTTTTCCACCACCAAAAGCAGCAGAAAAGACCACAAAAATGGAAAAATGAGTTTGTTTGTGATGTGGTTACATGGGGGAGGGGCAGTTAGCCCGTCCTTCTGGAGCACACAGAAAGACTCCAATGCACAGGAAGAGTGCAACCCAAGGTGGGAAATAGGCACATGGAGATTTAGCCAGGCATGGACCTGAGGACTGAGGTAGCGTGGATCCTACCTAGCACTGGGCTGGGAGAATGGAAGTCTCTGCTCTCAAGAAGGTGGAGAAACAGCTTGGCCTACTCTTTAAGACTCTTGGCCATGCTTTGTCTTTTTGAGAAAACAAAACAAAACAAAACACTCCTACAACAAAGTAAAATGAAAGCACCTCATTTTGGCAAATGTAGGGAGGGATCTGTCCTTTTGATCTTTTATCCCAGGCTTCTTCTTTTTTAAAGTCCTAATAGGAGACTAAGTACTGTATGAGGGGTTGGGGTGGAGACAATGAAATCTCCTTGGGTACTAGAAAGAGGAGGAGCTGGGAAGGGAGGGGAAGACATATGCATTGGGACACACACACACACACACACACACACACACACAGGGACCCAGAGTAACATGAAGTAGGGCACATACATCAGTGTGGCTTGGCCCTGGCTTCACACCAGCTGCCTAGGTGCTGACACTTCCTGCCTTCCTCCGCTGGAGAAGCGAACGAGCTCTGATCTACGCCTCAATTGTAGCTGTGAGGAGTCCTATTATCCACATTCTCTTACAGGGAGCCTGTGACAGAGCTCTGATGTTCCTAAGATTATCAGACAAGTAAGTAGTAAAGACAAATTTAATTCCAGATGTACTAAGTGAATGGATGTCATTTCCCACACATAACTGTACTCAGTTTATGGTAGATATGCTCTATTTGTGAACTTGATTGGCTTTGGGAATCACTCAGGGGATTAATAAAGCACACTTTAATGTGTGCTTGGGTAAGTCACGGAGAAGGCACGACCTTGAGTAATTACCTGGTCCCTCACCTTCTTCTCTTGCACTCTCAGCCTGCTGTGCTTCCCAGTCACCATGAATTAGGCATCTTTGCTCGTCATGCCCTGCCACCATGATGTAGACCCAACTAAACATGAACTGAATCCCCTGAAATCATGAGCCAAATTAAATTGCACCTTCTTTAAGTTACATTGTTTAGTATGGGTCCCATGAAGGGAAAGCTAGTGCAGAACTTTATGAGAGGGTCCTGCAGCTAACATTTTCTGAAAAAGAGTAAGATAAAATAAAATCCAAAATTTCAAAGCTGCCATATGTACAGTTTATAAAATAAATGGTGGCGAACTGGTTCATGGACTCTTGGACTGACCAATTAACTTAGATATAGAGCAGAGAATTCAGAATGGCTCTCATAGCCATTCCATAGAAGTTTAAACTATAGAAAATGCTTAGTCAGGTGTGGTGGCTCACGACTGTAATCCCAGTACTCAGGAGGCTGAGACAGGAGGATCATTGTGAGTTCGAGACCACCCTGGGTTACAAAGTGAGCTCAAGGCCAGCCTAAACTGCATAGTGAGACCCTGTCTCAAATTTACACAGTTAGCACTGTAAACAACTGAAAAATGGTCAAAATATATCAAATAATTGCTTTATGATATTGTACAACCAGATTGTGCAAGACTACATGATGTTTACAAGAAGGAAAACAAAAGTCATTTGATCTCCGCAGTTACCCCAGCTTTCTCTCTGCGGCAGTGTGCAGACCCTGAGAAGGATATATAAACAGGCTGTAGTTTTCCTAAAGTGAAAAGATAAAAATTGAAGACCTAGGCAGCTAGCTTTGGAGACAGAATATTGGAGAGAAGAGAACTAAAAAGATCTGCAGAGGAGGACCGCAGATTTAGCTCAGTGGCGTAAGCCTCTGCCTGGCAAACATGAGGTCATGAGTTTGATCCCCAGCAACAAAAATTATTAAAAAAATATCTGCAGAGGGATCCCTTAGAACATCTGTCTGATTATTGACGTGCATATGTACAGCAACAAGCTCTACAAGGCTGAAAAATTCTGATGTTCAACCTCTCTCCAGGGCTGGGGATCGTTTGCATTCCAATTAACTAGCTTACAGGGGAAATTGAATGATTTCGTGTTACTAAACAAATTGTTTACAGATGGTGATTAGCAAAGCAAATTTGTTAATTTTGGAGGTGGCAGTTTGAGAAATAAATCCCAAGTTCAGAGGAGAAATCCGGCTGAAGATCTCAAAATGGGAGGTGTCAACATACGGGAAAATGGCATTTGAAAGCATGATCCTGTGGGAGGGCCCCTAAGGAATTCTGAGTAGGCTGGAAATAGAAAAGCAAGAAGAATAAGTAATGGAACATCCCAATGTTTAGAGATCAGGGGACAAAGGTGTCCATAAACATGGGACTAGGACATGAACAGGAGACTAGGAAAATCCTGTGTTTTCTCCAGAAATTCAGTGAAGTGTTTCAGGCAGGAAGAGTGACCAATTGTGTCCAATGCTGCTAAGATTTTAAGTGAGAAGAAGAGTGAGAATTGGCCAGTGAGTTTAGCAGTAAGGAGATACTGACAACAGCTATGTCAGTGGAGTGATGGGTATGACAGCCTAAAAAGAAGAGTTTCAAGGAAAATGGAGAAAAATGCTGAAAATAGTCAAAATGGACAGCTGTTGTAAAGGGGGAAGAAAATCAACAGGCAGATGCGGTGGAATCAAAACATTATTAGTGGTAAGAGATCTTACTGTGTCCTTGTATATTGATAAGGACAAATCAACAGACATGGGAAAATGTGATAGTGTAGAGGCACAGCTGAGAACTGCAGAAATAATTACATTACAGGAAGTACCGTCCTTGGATAGGTAAGAAGGACTATTATCTACTGCCCAAGACTGATGCTGACTCAAGCTGGAAGGACAGACAAGTGTCCTCTTTCAATCGGAGTGAAGGGGTATCCATGGAGACAGACTGAGCTGATATTTCAGGGCTGCATTGTTAGGAGAGTCCTGGTTTAAAGCTGCTGTCTACTGCTCAGCCTTAGGGAAATCATACATAGGAACAGATATCAATTAGGTTTAAGGCTTGGAGGTTGGGGAGAGCAGGCATTCTTACAGAGAATGGTTCTAGTCTGTGCCTGAGATAGGAGTGAACATCAGCACCCAAGAGAAGAAAGAGCCCAGCATGCTAAGGCGCAGCTAACATGCTTTAAGAAGGATGGGGTGAAGACAGACATTGGATCATTTTACAAGATTAATGAGAGAAGAGCTGGGAACTTGAGGATTTAGGCAACAAAGTCAACTGTAGTGATGGAACAAAACCCAACACTCTATGTGAGAACATCAGGAACAAGAGCGTAAGGACAATGACAAGTTTAGGATGAACCCTATGGCCTTATAGTTTAGCCGCGGCTCAGAACTTCTGGCATCAGGCCCCGGAAAGAAGTCGGGAAGGAGGGTATGTGGACAGGGATCCAGTGACTTCAAGCAGAAATTATGGAACAAGCATTTTAGCAACTATGACGAGGATGAAAATGGGTGAGTGATGAATAGAACAGAAACAGATCTTGAGAGGAAAGACATCAGCAGCCCGGTGTGTTGATCATCTACTTGGAATTTGCAACACTCATGAATGGGAACAGGTCTACAGAGGGACCAGTAGCTAGTTAGGATCACGTGTCTAAAATTCTCTCTTTGTTCTGTAAACTGCAGAGAATGTGCATTGTGAGTCTGAGCGGGTTGAAATCGTTGTAACTATGTTCAGACTTCTTCCCTTCTCCTCCACAGGTGTGGACAGCTTATTGAGGAATCTAATGCACATCTGCCCTGTCACCTTCACCATAGACGGAGGTCAGGTCAGAAAATTCCTGGTACGTTTCTCAGCCAGCATTGAAGTCCTTGGCCATGCTGAGGCATCTCGCAGCAGAGCCCACTCACCTGCCTGGCCAGCCACAGTCTCCGCATGCCCATTTCTCCCCTTTTGATGTCTGTGTTATCAATGCCTTTAACCATATATTCAAATAATTTTTGGTCTGTTTTATGCAGCGGCTTGTGGAGAAGAATAAAGTATTAGACTTCAAAGTCCTCCATGTTATGAATCTGATGTGGATAGGTGCATTTATAAAACATATTCACCTCTATTACTTTGGGGAGTCCCTATGTCAAAGCTTTGGAGGGAGGGAGTTTGGAAAATCTGCATTTTCCATAATGACACACCATGAATCGGTGACTTATTGACAGGGTCCTGACTCCCCAGGGACTGTGCTGGCCTCTAATAACCTGGTCACTTATGTGTGCTTACCAATGCAGATTTTGAGGTGAACTCAATCAGTGCAGGAAGAGATGTGGTCGTAGAAAGTCGCTGGAGATAAGTAGGAGAAAAATGTTCCCCAATCAGGTAAAGCTGGTGAGATTTTGCATGAGCGGAAATGTACTCTAAGAATGGAAGAGGGTCTTTTTCTATGAAAGGGATGGTGTAGTTAGAAAAACCCAAACCAGCTCCACCATATGACTTGTAACCATAATGGGACCCTCTCTTCACTTCTATTTTCTTATGCAATTAACAGTATACTCTTTACTGGATTGTGAACTCCAAATGATATAATAAACAAAAATATTACATATATATATATATATATATATATATATATAGAGAGAGAGAGAGAGAGAGAGAGAGAGAGAGAGAGAGAGGGAATTGAACCCAGAGTCTTGTAATGAGTGACATCTACAGTCCTTTTGATGTTTGATCTTGAGACAGGGTCTACTGTCTTAGACACTACCCTAGTCTGGGGCACAGTACTGATAGCACAAATTATATGAGGAGAACTTTATTTTGGGTCACTGTTTTTAGAGGGCTCAGTCCATAGTCAGCTGGTGCTGAGGCAGGAAGGGGATGGTAAAATGCTCTGGCGGAGGAGAGCTGCTCATGTCATGGTGGCCAGGAAACAGAAGAAAGAGAAGTCAGAGAGAGAGAGAGAGAGAGAGAGAGAGAGAGAGAGAGAGACTTCTAGGCCATGCCCCTTAGTGACCCAACTCTTCTGAGCCAGATCTCATCTGCCAATGGAATCCACCGATAGGAGTAGCACCCCATGATTCAATCATCTTCCAAAAGCCCCATCTCTGAACACAACACCCTTTGGGGGACATTTGAGATCTAAACCATAATAGGGTTTCACTGACTCACTAAGTTGCCCAGGCTGGACTCAAATTTGTGATCCTCCTTCGTCAGCCTCCCTAAAATATTGTTTTAAAATTGGAACTTAACTTATCAGAGACCTCGGTGTCATTGTACTTTAGGGGACGCAGCCTCCTGGGAGTGCAGAGGAGCCTGTGGTGGCGAGAACAGGTGGATTGTCAAGCGAGGGCCACGTGTAGGGACACTGTGTGTGACTGTGTTGGTTACCACCCAGAGGAGGATTCTTCCCAAATATGGTCACTGTGGAGGCAAGCTTGGCCTCCAGGGAGCGCACTGCAGCCTCCGGAATAAGTGGCGCTGTGTGTAGAACCTTTCTTCTCTCGCTGAGTGTGGAAACCAGTGTGGATCTCCATTGCTCTGAAAGTAGACTTGAGATGAGGGCAACGAGGCTGGAGGAGGTGCTTCGGAGAAAGCTTGGGAGAGGAAGAGACGCCCAGGATCTGAAACCGTGCTGTCTTTGCCGCTGCCAGCTCTGTCCTCTGAACCTAGTGTTGGGAGGAGCGTGATAGAATGGGTGAGGGTGTGGGGTCCCCTGATGTGAACCAAATCAAGCCCCTGCTTCTGGTTCCGTGAGAAGCCGCTTGGTAGAAATCAGGATGTGACTCAAATTCTCGTCCAGATAGCACATTTTCTGGCTCATTTCCTTTTGTTTTATTTGTGAATATTTTAACTGTCTTTTATTCATTTCTAGTGCCTATTTTATTCTGGAGTCTTTTGCATTTCTTATCCTTCTTTCCCTTCCTCCCCTTTTCCTTTTGTCTGCCGCCTTCATGACAAAGCACAGACCACCCAAGACATTGCTGCAGGATGCTGGGGAGCAAGTTTTGTTTCTCTGCATTTCCTGACTGGGAGGATAAATTTAACTTTCTCTTCCCAATACTGTGCTGTACACAGTTGAGCTTGGCGCTTTCACTGTGATGAGTCATTTTTCATAAACAGGGACTGTGGAAAGTGCTTGATTCACATTATAACAACAACAATATGGAAAAAGACCAACACTGAATGAGCTCCAAATTTTCAGATGTTTTGCAAAGAGAGGAGGAGGGGGATTACAGTCTTTAGAGAAGTCTCTTGGCTTTTGAATTATGAGCATTTCTTTTCTTGATTAAAAGAAGGAGAATAATGGGAGGATCATAGCTACACAGCCAGTCTCACAGAAATCACCCATGGTTATTTGGCAATATTATTTGTGCAAGTTGTATTGTTTCCCACAATTTCATATATATATACATATATATGAATATATATTAATATATATATATATCTGACTACAGTCCATTTTATAAGTTATTCAAATCATTATACTTCATGATGCATTATTCCCTGGAAAATAACATCAGCTACACAGTGGTAAAATCAGAATGTTTTAAGTAGTGGTAGACTCAGGTCCTATAAGACAGACAATTTAATAAAGCAGCCAGACAAGACCCATCTCAGAATGTGTGGGTGATTCTGATTGTTTTAGAAAAGCATTATTTTGAGGTAGAGAGAAGCTGAGTTTAATAGATTTCCATCCATGGAGTGCATTACACATTGTATGATAACTACTTAGATCAAATAAAAAGTTATGTATTAGGTGAGTACTGTAAACTTACATAGCTCTGTATCACCAAGGTGAACCACAAGGGAATATGTGTCATTTACTGATGTATACTTGAACATAGATCACAAAGACTTCTACCAATCAAAGGTTAGCTGATTCTATGATTAGATGTGGTAAGAGTATAAAGATGCTGTCATATTTTAAAGGCAATAGAAACAGGTACCAGCGCAGATTTACATGAAACTATTTAAAATAGGAAGAATCAAACAGATGACCTGACTTCACACAGATACTTACACAGGCACAAAAGTGCTCACAGAACTCTAATGAGGCCATCTATTCATGCTTAAGTCAAGAGGATTGACTTACGTTATGGGAAGTAACTGATTTACAAATTTATTAGTTTATATTAAGGTTTCTTATCCAAAATATTTTCTGGCTTCTTGGTTAACAATGGATCCTAGAATTGTACAAAAACATGAATGTACCTATCTTAAACATCTCCCATCTGAACCAAACCCGGTACAGAAATCTTCAAAGGCCCCATTCCCCTGTCCACTCACATGAGGATATCTTCCAGCTAAACAAAAGCTAGAAAATAGTTTTCAGCCCACATGTTGTGAAATGGAAGAGGACATAGAAGTCATATGATTTAATTTTCATTTTACAAATTGAGAAATCAAGATCCAGAAAAAAAGCTACATTCCCTCCAGTTTCTAGTAGCAGCATACAGGCAATGTACATACCTGGTGATCAGGAGTTGACCTTTGGTCCTAGACTATTCATTTCTTGAATTTTAGCTATGAAATTTAGCTATGATGTGATAGCTGGACCTCCAGCAGCTACATCTGAGCCAGTAGTATCCTCAAGGACTGACACTGTCCTTCAAAGATAGGCATCCTAGAAAGACAAAAGGATCTAGAGTCTCTGAGAAGGGTGGACAGTTTTGCTAGCCATGGACTGCCTGTGTCCTGAAACACTTAAGAATATTTTATTAAATGTAGCTGAGTTACCTGGGCTGATAGATAGCCTTGCATACAGGAAATGAGAGAAAAGATAATAAGGTAGACATTTCAAATACATTTATGATAAAAAGAAAAGAATTGAGAGGTCTCAGAAGAAAGCTTTTCTCCATTTCTCGGGGAGAAAGACAAGAACCCAGCAGGAGCTCTCCATGGTACCGATGGAGGAGTTTGTTTAGATGGCCTACTTCAATACACTGCTGCTTGTTTGCCATTTATTATTTTTAGTTTTCAGTGAGAACATCTTGTAAAGATGGCCAGGCAAAGGCAGAGACACAGAACTGAGTTTCTAACCTAACATCGTCTTGATCTAGATTACAGTGATAGCTGCAATATTGGATAGAGCTTTTGTCACAGCTGAAATAAACTTACAGAGAGAGAAGGCTGAACTTTTTATCGAAGGAAATCTGAGTTCCAGAAAATTTAAGTACATTACTTTTGGTTGTAATGTTAATAAGTAATAGAGCTGGATATGTAGGCTCTGAAACCTTGGAAATAGTTGTTTCAACCGGTCACCGATAAACAGATCTCTTGATTATGTCATAACCACACTGCAGCCCAGGAACGTATCACAGACACAGGGTTTTAAAAATTGGGTAATTTGATCAAAATCAAATGGCTGGTTTGTAGGAGACTTGCTATTTGAATTCAGCTTTTGCTCATTCCAAAACACACTCTGTTTTCATGACAAAATATGGGTCTTCACATGGGACTCTAGACAGCACACATCTTGAGAGTTGTGGAGTGGGTAGTGGGGATGAAGCCCCCATTGTGGTCTGGTAACTGTGTCACAGACTTTAGGAAAGATAAGTAAGACGTACCACTGGCCTGGAATCCATCATGCAAAAGTGGAACTATTTACATGTGTCCCTCTGGGAATAGAGGCATGGAAGTGGGTAAACGGTGTCAGTTTGGGAGGAAGAGAGGAGCTGGGTTCCTTTGGGTTCCTGACAGGTTACAGAGGCTCTGCACGGAGTTGGTCTCCTGGGCCCGAGAGACTAGAGTTCCCAGTACGGTTACACTTTTTTGGCCTCAGCACACTACTTTTAGAAAATGTACCAGTACCAGTACCTCCATTCTGCAGTGCATTTTTTAGACTGGTCAAATAGTTCAAGCTAAATTTGAAAGCCTGCTTGAATAATGTGAATAAAGAGACACTTACTGATGGATCAAAATCTGAACGATGCTGCAGCACAAGCACTAGACAGGGAGGCAAGAAACCTCCTCCTGCTCCTGGCCTGACTTTAGTTCAGTGCTGGCCTTACCCAACTCATCTTTTACCGGATCTCCTTTTTCTCCCTTTGTGGAAGAAGACATGGTGAGG